ACAGTTGTAGAACACTTGAGAGTGGCATACTTGGAATTAAAAGGAACCTCAAAACAATCTATATGTGTACTTACTGCAGTGTTTTGACCTCGCTGGCTTAATAAACTTGCATGTATAACATTCCGGTTGTGTGTAATATACACCATCAGGTTCATAGTCATTCATGTAATCAGCATGATCTATGGTTGTAATGATACCAGGCTCACTGGTGGAACAAATCCAAAAGAGTGTCACATTGATGGCTATAAGTATATACGTAACAATGCTAAATACATTGATTTTATCGAAGAATGGGATGACCCTGAAGGTGTATATAGCAGTCCCTCCAGTAATAACAAAGCCATAAAATAGTTGAATGCATGGATTCCTGAAGAAAAGAAAACATAAAAATGTAAAGTTTTTGGTAAAATTTTGGCAACTTATAGGTATTTAAAAAAATACTGGCAGTTCTCTACTTTTGTATCCAAGTTACTTTGCAAGAAATCTCTGTCACAAACAAACTCATGTAAAGATTGAGAATTTTATTGAGCTTGACGTACACTGACACAGTACAGACTATAAGGTACATGTACAGGTACATGCATGTTGCTTATGTTCTTAAAAAATAATCATAAAATGATATATACCATTTTTCTTTTCTTTCTATTTAACGATTAGATTATGAGCTCGAGATTTCTATCGCGCGATAGTTGACGAGGGCGCAGCCCGAGTCAACCATCGCCCATAGAAATCGAGAGCGAATAATCCCCAGCGTACGCTGCTACGCTACTCACTATCTACAACAGAACAGAAAGTGAGTAGCATAGCCAATCAGAGAATGGCATTCGTGATAGAACGCTAGTAGATTTATACTAAAAGCTAATATATATATATATACCTTGTAAACAGAATGTACGTTGTGATGTTGTTTACTGTTCGAGAAACAGCTGCAGGAATGCACCTTTGAAAACTGGACTTCACAAAATGTGCAACCTGGAAAAGTACACATAGTTTGCATAAATGAACATTCATAGCTTTATGTTAAAAGATCATTTATGGACATTTTTCCTAGTGATGAGATTTCTGAAATAAGCATAAACCATATTTCATACGTACTGATACGCCAATTAAGCGCAAGGAAACCAAGTGATGTTGCAAAACTTGAGCTTAAAGTTGTCGATCCATGCACTTCCTGACTTTACATGTATAAGCTTACCGAAAATAAGTTTCTTCGGAGCAGACCAACCCAGCCACCCCGATGATATCCAGACCTTCCGAGGAAAATGATGTACGACAGCCCCACAAAAAAGAGAGTATACAACACCGCCATTAAAAGAAAATCCATCCTTCTTGCGAATCAATCTGCTCCGTCCGCCATTTTTGTTTATTACTACAAAGAAACACAGCTGACCACCGTGTGGGCTCAAAGTTATTCTAATTGTTTTTTCTGTTGTTATGGTAACTCCCGATAAACCAATCAGGTGACAGCAACACATCTGTTGCATAGCGCGAGCAAAACATTGCAAACAGTTTATCAGCGAAGATTTCGTCGTTTAGTTATCATTTTGAGAACAGAGATCAGTAAGGTAGGTTCTGTCGCGTTTGTGTCCTTGTTGAACCGGTTAATTTCTGTAGAAGGATGATTTTCCCCTAAATTCACTGATATATTCTGATTTCATGTCTCCGATTGCTCTTTCGCGCTGGTCACGCAAATTTCGCACCGTTTTCATCGAGTCTGTACTGAGAATTTTTGTGAGCTTGACATTTCCTTGACTTTTCGCATTGAACTGCAAGGTATTTTACCCCTGTAATAGTTAGAAGTGACCACAAATAGTAGTTTTCGCCCTTTGTGGAGTCAAGCAAGATAATTCTAGGCGAACCGAGCGGTACGTGTAACTGGTGAATTAGAGGAAGCTAGAAGATGCAAGCACCATTTACGAGACTAACATTTCTTTAATTTTAGATTCAAACACTATGGCGTCTATCGTATCTCCGATTGCTCAGCCTTCAAGACCGAAATCAGTTTCAAGACCAAAGCGCTGGAGCGAAGAAGTCGAAGAAGGTACAGTTAAATATATAGCTCCCTGCCAGCTGCAGTTGAGTTGGTATCAAATGCTTCTTCAAGAGAATGTTTCACTTGTGATACAATTAAGGAGCTGCTTTGTTTTCGTTACCTTGCAGCTTACAGATTTCAAATCGCTGGGTACAGAGATGTTCATGAATATCGCGATGTCAAGCAGAAAGAACCAGTAAGTGATATAAAATCACTAGCTTACTTACAAGTTTCCCAGAATGTCGAATTTTATGAACTATTGGGTATTGATGTGTCTGATGACATTACAACTCCACACGATGGACATTGTTAGTATAAACGAAAACCAAGGAAATCATCATAAAAGTTCCCATCACCAAGATTGCTTCTCATTTAGGCGGAATAGGTGGATTTTTTTTTAGCAGCCAAGCTATCACGTGATGAGTATATAGGCGTTCTGAGTCACGGCATTTTTAGTTATTTTGGCCACATACAAAGTGACCTTTAAACTAAACGAAACCTGAAAATATTAGTTTACTGAGACGGAAAAACACGAAAGGGATAATAGTAAACCATGATGGAACAAAGTTGGTGAAGGATGGAAAAGACTGACACGGATTGCAAATGGAGAACTTAAAAAATTTAGGCTAAATTTTTCAAGATGCGCAAACTGTCATGCCTTTAAATAGCGTGGTCAACAGGAAAAGCAATCAGTAAGTATAGAGGGGCTGAAACCATGTATTAAGTAAAATATCAAAAACACCGAAATAGAAACAACAAACAGAGAAGAAACAAGGATGGCGTGGGACATGACTACTGTGTGAGGGATTGTAGTTGACAAACTTGCAAACTTTAAGCACAAGTTTTCAAGATGTCCATTGACAACTTACATAACTTCTTTTAGACCAAACTGTGTCAACAAACCAGAAGTTGAATTGGGCAAGTACTTTAACTCCAGGGTAATGTTACCCAGTGGCTACAATGTGTTACAGGAACTACATCACAGTTTGCGCATCTTGAAAAGTTAAGCCTGAATTTTTCAAGTTCATCATTTGTAATCTGTGTCAATCTTCTCCATCCTTCGCCATCCTTGTTTCTTTATGGATTATTATTATTATTATCTCTTCTGTGTTTTTCTATCTAAGTTAGTAAATTATTGTTTTCAGGTTTTCTTAAATTTAAAGGCAATTCTGCATGTGACCAAAATAACTTAAAATACCTGTGACTGAGCTCCCCTAAACAACTTGTTTTAACTAATTTGTTCATGCAATAACAACATCTCTTCCATTTACTTATGGTTCATTTGTTTGTTCTTTTAGGACCGCTGGCCCCACAATGGCTATGTGAAGAAACTTCAACGTAAAGATGGTTATTTCATCTACTTTGACAGGACCAGAGAATGCGCTGACAAAGATGTTTTTAAATGCAAGCTATATGGATATTAGTGGCAACATAGAACAAATTCATGAACGATCATGGAATTCTGGTTACATTAACAACATAATAGGAATTGCAATGAAAAGATCCAGACCCTGTACTAGTCTATTAAAAACCAAATATTTTATTCAAATTTATGGAACTGAAAGATCTAAAGGATGGTTATTAGTAATGTGTTACATTTAGTGAAAATTATAAATGGTGTAGCAGTTTTTATGAGGCATGTTGATGTTTTGCAATAGCTGTAAATATTTCATAAAGCAGTTATATTATTGAGAGATCCTAGTGTTTTAAGGCATTAACTTAATATATGAGAAGGATTTTTGTACAGTTGTTAACAAATGTGTGTAAACAAAAGTTTTTTCATTGCTGTGTATTAAAGTATAATTGTGTAAGACTTTCATGTCAGAGTTGTCAATGTTTCACAGCAGCTCCTCTTGTGTCCAGTTCTGTTATATTCTGAATCCCTTGATCCCCATAAAAAGCCTGCCGTGTGAAAAACCTTACAAGATCTTTGAAGATCTGCCTTAGCATTTATGAGGATCTTCTAAGATCTTCATCTTGTTGGATCTTTCAAAGATCTCCACTTTATCTCTATCAGGCAAGAGAACAGCGTAGCCATTATTAGCCATGTCACATAACACTTCTCCTCACTAACACTTGTCAAGAAGACTAGCAAGACCAGAGATGGACCATTCAAGTAATCCATCATAAATGGCTTAATTATCTTGTTAGAAAAAAGGACAATAATGAACGACATGAGTACAGGCACAGGATTACGTGCAAGGTGATGGCAGCGCGGAAGAGGTTTGCCGCCCAATTGATCCATTTGACTTTGTGCCTGCACTCACCTAGCACAGCAGCTTTCTATAACCAACATTTCTACCCTCTGCTGAGGAGGGAGTCAAAATATCCAATTAATGCCCTGCAGTTGTTTATTGTTTATATTTCCACTAACCATTAAAAAATAAAAACTGGCGGTTTCTTACAGTGATAAACACAATCATATTGCCACAAAAATGATTTTCCCAATTTTTCTGACCAAATTCCTGTGGACCCTTTTGATAAAAATAAATAAATAAAAATAAATAAAAATCTATGGTTCCCCATAATCAAATTGTGGTGCCCCTTGAATTATACTATACTAGTACAATAAGAGCTGAGAACAATAACATGTAATTGTAGTTGCCATGATGCAAATCACACTCATTATTAACACTGAATGACAAGAAAAGACTAAAGTTGCATTTATTGAGAAAATTTTAAAGAAAGTGCTTTATAACCAAAGTTTGTAAAAACATCAATATTTGCAGAACTTCCACCAACTGCAAGAACCTGGAGAAAAAATAAAACAAGAGAACACTAAACAAACATGGTAGAATTTAAGGAAAAACCCCTTTTTAATTACATATGTCAGCTGCTGTATGCTTCAAATATCACAATACAGTCAATGCAAGCTGAAAGGATGTGGATGAACTGAAACTGTTGATAAACTGTGATGTTTTTGCACCCTGAAATGCTTATATTCAATTTGGCACTAGATATATTTTTCTTTGAGAACTTTCAGGGTCAAACCTAGAAGAACAGAATGAGCTTCTGTGAATATTGTTGATGTAATACAAGAGAGCCTGTAACTAAGGTTGCCAGCAAACCAAGATCAAGTCCCGTGCTCCAAAGCAGCCAGAAGTGAAAACTGTGATTAAAGGGGACTGGCTGTATTCCTAGAGTAATTTAAATTACCCTGGTAATTTGTTCTGAAAACATTGCCACTTGATCAGGTTACCTTATTTTTTGGAGATTTACTGTTTACTTGAATTGCAAAAACTGAGTTTGGAGTGCAGGGCACTTGTGCTTTAGGATCGCCATTGAGTTGCCAGTGAAAGAGGTTTGGTTCTGATCCAGCCGACAGTATCTTGAAAACAAAATGTAGTAAAACCACATCACTGTCACAGTGGTCATTGCCAGGGTTTGACACAGGAACAATTTCCATGTTAGTCATAATGTTCTACTTCATTTGAAAATCCAAATCTGGCATCGTTACACCTCTCAAACACAATTAAAACAACCGTTACATTCCAAGTCAGACTGCAAAAATAGCCACTTTGGTAAGGTAAAGTCTGCATACGAGCCAAGTGGCCCATCAGGCTGGAGCTTATCCCGGTTTCTGTAGCATGAAGC